CCCCAAAACCCCAAAACCCCAAAACCCCTAGTTTTTTGGAATATTATTTTCATTACCTTTATTGTAAAATAAGTGTAATTTGCTTGACCATAAATAATGGGTAAAGACAATCTGTGTTGAAGAATGACCAAGAGTAGACTTGTTCTAAGAATAACAGTTAAGACACAGGATGTATGCTTACAAGATGATGGTTTAACAAGTGTTCTTAATACTTAACATTTTAAGTATCAAAAATCATGAATCTCCAAAACCACTGTAATTATATCTTACCTATCCACATAGTTATTTTCCAAAGTCTCCTCTCTCCATCCCCACCGCCTCTACTGTACCTCTTATCCCTTCTGGGCCCTTACTAAGTCCTGATCTGCTTGAAAATATTTTCCCCATTTTGGCTTCAGGGACATGAGCTATTGGGTTTCCTAGACATAAGCATACTTATCGTTATGGGTTGTTTACCCATGCGGCTGGAGGAGGGCATTCCTATTTGGGGCTGAAGAGAGTTGGTCTGGTCGTAGATTATGCGGAAGGGGTATAGGGAGGGGCTTACTTTGGACCGATGTTTGGAGCAGAGTGCATTATAATGAGAATTCTTTCAAAACAAAGATTAGTCTAGAAAGCTAGCTTATAATGATTCTCAAGGAAATCATAAATCCTTATGAGTCATATAAAGAGGCTGAGGAGCTGGATCAGTGATTATTTGAGGCTGTGGACTGATTTTAACAGCAATAGCTACCCCATTATTTGTTTCGGCTTGATTTCTTAAATCCATTTGAGCTTTCTTGATAGAGCAAAGTACAGTTGTACTAATTATTCCACCAATAATTATGATGAAACATCAAATACTTCCTAGAACGGTCCTTATAACTGCTCCTACACTCACTGTTCTATACAAAAGTAATCAAAATCTTACTTTACTGTTCTAACTGCTTTATAGTCAATATCTATAGCATTGCTAGATGAGGTAGGGTGAACTACAATTTAAACCGCAGAGTCCCAATCTATAGACACTGTCTTTGTGCCTCCAGTGCTCATAGAACCCTCCTTGTAATAATCATAAGCTGAAGAGCTAGCGAACACTGTTATATAAACATATTTGAATGGGATATTTTGAAGTTTAAAGGTAAAGGAAATCAAAATGCTTCGAGGATTTTATTCCTTCATATAACTGAATTCTTAACAGGCATTTGATCACTTATAATAAAGTCTTTTCTAAGACATCCAATAATCTTTATGGATGCCAGCGTTTGTTGCATAATCTATTGATAAGTTTTTAAGATAAGTTGAAACTTGACTTACTGACATCTATCTTTATGCCATTTATATATATAGAAGTGGATGTCAATTTGTACACTCACACAACATTTGAAGTGATATAACTCCTTGTTGTATTCCAAGTCTGTCCAGAATAATAAACTCTTTTTGTCAAAGTTCCACAATCTGAGGCCATAATCCAAAATATTGCATTCCAACCCTAAACTATCATTTTCTCAACTTCCTAAACTATTAAATATATTCTTTCATCCCCAAACCTTTATACAGGGGTTTTGGGGTTTTGGGGTTTTGGGG